AGAGAGAGAGGAGAGAGAGAGAGAGAGGAGAGAGAGAGAGAGAGAGAGAGAGAGGAGAGAGAGAGAGAGAGAGAGGAGAGAGAGAGAGAGAGAGAGAGAGAGAGAGAGAGAGAGGAGAGAGAGAGAGAGAGAGAGGAGAGAGAGAGAGAGAGGAGAGAGAGAGAGAGAGAGAGAGAGAGAGAGAGAGGAGAGAGAGAGAGAGAGGAGAGAGAGAGAGAGAGAGAGAGGAGAGAGAGAGAGAGAGAGGAGAGAGAGAGAGAGGAGAGAGAGAGAGAGGAGAGAGAGAGAGAGGAGAGAGAGAGAGAGAGAGAGAGAGAGGAGAGAGAGAGAGAGGAGAGAGAGAGAGAGAGAGAGAGAGAGAGAGGAGAGAGAGAGAGAGAGAGGAGAGAGAGAGAGAGAGAGAGGAGAGAGAGAGAGAGAGGAGAGAGAGAGAGAGAGAGAGAGAGAGAGAGGAGAGAGAGAGAGAGGAGAGAGAGAGAGAGGAGAGAGAGAGAGAGGAGAGAGAGAGAGAGAGAGAGAGAGGAGAGAGAGAGAGAGAGAGAGAGAGGAGAGAGAGAGAGAGAGGAGAGAGAGAGAGAGAGGAGAGAGAGAGAGAGGAGAGAGAGAGAGAGGAGAGAGAGAGAGAGAGAGGAGAGAGAGAGAGAGGAGAGAGAGAGAGAGGAGAGAGAGAGAGAGAGGAGAGAGAGAGAGAGAGAGAGAGAGAGAGGAGAGAGAGAGAGAGAGAGGAGAGAGAGAGAGAGAGAGGAGAGAGAGAGAGAGAGGAGAGAGAGAGAGAGGAGAGAGAGAGAGAGGAGAGAGAGAGAGAGGAGAGAGAGAGAGAGAGAGAGAGAGAGAGAGAGAGAGAGAGAGAGAGAGAGAGGAGAGAGAGAGAGAGAGAGAGGAGAGAGAGAGAGAGGAGAGAGAGAGAGAGGAGAGAGAGAGAGAGAGGAGAGAGAGAGAGAGAGAGAGAGAGAGGAGAGAGAGAGAGAGAGGAGAGAGAGAGAGAGAGAGAGGAGAGAGAGAGAGAGAGGAGAGAGAGAGAGAGAGGAGAGAGAGAGAGAGGAGAGAGAGAGAGAGAGGAGAGAGAGAGAGAGAGAGAGAGAGAGAGGAGAGAGAGAGAGAGGAGAGAGAGAGAGAGGAGAGAGAGAGAGAGAGAGGAGAGAGAGAGAGAGAGGAGAGAGAGAGAGAGAGAGGAGAGAGAGAGAGAGAGGAGAGAGAGAGAGAGGAGAGAGAGAGAGAGGAGAGAGAGAGAGAGAGAGAGAGAGAGGAGAGAGAGAGAGAGAGGAGAGAGAGAGAGAGAGAGAGAGAGAGAGGAGAGAGAGAGAGAGGAGAGAGAGAGAGAGGAGAGAGAGAGAGAGAGAGAGAGAGAGAGAGAGAGAGAGAGGAGAGAGAGAGAGAGAGAGAGAGAGAGAGAGGAGAGAGAGAGAGAGAGGAGAGAGAGAGAGAGGAGAGAGAGAGAGAGAGAGAGAGAGAGAGAGAGAGAGAGAGGAGAGAGAGAGAGAGAGGAGAGAGAGAGAGAGAGAGAGAGAGGAGAGAGAGAGAGAGAGAGAGAGGAGAGAGAGAGAGAGAGAGAGAGAGAGGAGAGAGAGAGAGAGAGGAGAGAGAGAGAGAGAGGAGAGAGAGAGAGAGGAGAGAGAGAGAGAGAGAGAGAGGAGAGAGAGAGAGAGAGGAGAGAGAGAGAGAGAGAGGAGAGAGAGAGAGAGAGAGAGGAGAGAGAGAGAGAGGAGAGAGAGAGAGAGGAGAGAGAGAGAGAGAGAGAGAGAGAGAGAGAGAGAGGAGAGAGAGAGAGAGAGAGAGAGAGAGAGAGAGAGAGAGAGGAGAGAGAGAGAGAGGAGAGAGAGAGAGAGATTAGTACAAGTGTAGTCATCTATGTGTAAAAACAATCGAACAAGTCGACTCACAGTGGGCATGGCATGTACGTACATGCCATCCCCGGCGGCAATGGGTTAAATAAGTGAACTGAAAACTAATTTGCCCTAATTTATATCAGAAATAGTTTACTTCAGGCTCAAGATCTGTGATAACTGCTACCTTTAAAAGAATTATAACAAAAAAATTATTGATATCTTCAATTCACTTCCACATCAACTGCAATAAATACTACACAAAATAAAAATAAAAAAAGAGTGTAACAATTACCTTTAGGTCTGTGAGATCTCATATCCGATTCAATTCTGGCCTTGCGCTCCTCCGCCTGTCGCCTGTCAAACGAAACCTTAAATGTGATTAAGGTGAATTGAATTTCAAATCGTATGTTTTCTTACTGTAGAACTCCTCAGCTCTAGATTTTAAGAGATTCCTTAAGTCCTAACCCTTAACAGACAGGCCATCTTATGATCTGACACATCAGTGCATTAAACAATCCCTCCTACCTACTCTAATTATATTCACACAAAAATAACTTGTATTATTGCAATCAATAGATCCAAATCAACATTATGGGACTTGAAAACATCAGAATCCAAAGTCCTTATTCTCCAGTATCCTGGTACAGCATGACCTGTGTCCTCACTTGAATGTGGCTAAATAAGTAACACACATCATTTAGGGGTTAGTGCAACCTTTCTCACACTGCAAAAGGAATTTAGAAAAAAATAAACATTATATATATATATATAAATATATATGCATCTATATGCATCTATATATATATATATATATATATATATATATATATATATATATATATATATATATATATATATAGAGATAGAGAGAGAGAGAGAGAGAGAGAGAGAGAGAGAGAGAGAGAGAGAGAGAGAGAGAGAGAGAGAGAGAGAGAGAGAGAGAGAGAGAGAGAGAGAGAGAGAGAGAGAGAGAGAGAGAGAGAGAGAGAGAGAGAGAGAGAGAGAGAGAGAGTGTGTGTGAGAGAGTGTGAGAGAGAGTATGAGAGAGAGAGAGAGAGAGAGAGGGTATGAGAGAGAGAGAGAGAGAGAGAGAGAGAGAGAGAGAGAGAGAGAGAGAGAGAGAGAGAGAGAGAGAGAGAGAGAGAGAGAGAGAGAGTGTGTGTGTGTGTGAGAGAGTGTGAGAGAGAGTATGAGAGAGAGAGAGAGAGAGAGAGAGAGAGAGAGAGAGAGAGAGAGAGAGAGAGAGAGAGAGAGAGAGAGAGAGAGAGAGAGAGAGTGTGAGTGTGTGTGAGTGAGTGAGTGAGAAAGCATCTTGTTAACTCTCCTAAAAAGTACCTCTCCATTTCTGCTTTTTCTCGTGCCTTCTTTTCATTTTCTAACTGTTCCCTTAGCTTCTCTTTATCCTTCCTCTCCTTGCGCATGCGTTCTATCTGTTCCTTCAAAGCTTTCCTCTTGTCTTCTTGCTTGCGTAGCTGCTCTTGCTCCTGTCCAAATAAACAGCATATAAATATAATATAAATATAATAAAACAAGCTTTGAAAACTAACTAATCAATATCATTATCAGTACCAGGAGCAACTTTAGAATAATAACAACATGGGTGACATGAACAATAATAACAAAAATAATAATAATAATAATAACAATAATAATAATAATAATAATAATAATAATAATAATAATAGTAATAATAATAATAATAATAATAATAATAATAATAATAATAAAAATAAAAATAATAATAATAAAAATAATAATAATAATAATAATAATAATAATAATAATAATAATAATAATAACAATAATAACAATAATAATAATAATATCAACAACAGAAACAATAGTAGTCAAAAGTATAACAATATAATTTAACACAAAATCAACTCACTTACAAATGACCGTTTATCATACCTGCTGTTGTCGAAGGGCTTCTGTGATCTGTTCTGGCTTGGGTGAAGGTCCCAAATTGAGATTTCCTAACTGGCCTGATAATGCTAAGTTGACCATTTTCCATAATTCTTCATTCTGCTTGTGAACCTTGTTATACTGACTTTCCTGTAGGAAAAGTTAAGAGAAAGGTAGAAACTGTGCTCAATTATTTATTATCATCCCTCCATTATCAAAGTAGAAAAAAATGTAGTTCCACAGATAGGTAGATAAAAATTCTTGGGAAACTTACCATTTCTGTACTCTTTATCTGCAGTTTCTTAATTTCCTCTTGTAGCCTATCCTCAGTCTGTTTCAAAAGTTTGCGGCTCTCTTCATCCTGTGTCCTCTCCAGGGCTGTTGCAGTCTCCTCCATCTCTTCTATCTTTTTCAGTGTATCCTATCAAAGAGGGGAACAAAGTTTACCTACAGACTAATAGACTGACTGACTGACTGTATGAGCAAGAGACATAGATATATAGTATATTTGTATTTTCCTTGTTTTCCTTCTTTTAGCCATTCCTTAACTTAATGCAACCCGGCATTAACATATAGTTGATGGTCAAGTTTTTGACAAAAGCCCAGGGAGCAAGGTTGTCATGATAGTTTGTGTGGCCTTGATAACATTCTTCACTAAAAAGTGTGGAAAGATCATGCAGAATGGATCTTAATACAGAAGTACAGCCCAGTAAGGTTGCCATATATTTTGTTAATAAAGCCTTCTAAAATGAAAATGCATAGCCAAATACTGAAATCACTTAACTATGACCTCAGAGAGAGCCACTCATGAACAGCAAGTCCATACTTTAGTTAACCCTTTCGGTTTTAGACAATTAAAATTGACATATTAAATGCAAAAAAATCTTTGTAGATCTATGTGACTCTGGGTATTCTATGCTACTTTATATTACTGGAATACATTGTCCTAGCTTTTCCTTTTTTACTCTTTTCTTCAATAAACTTCCAGACTTCATGATTTTTTCAAAATCATTATTGGGCAATCAGTATATAGCTAAAACTAATGTCTATATCAAATACAAAAAAATAAGTTTTGATTATTCTAAAAATCCTTGTTTGTAATGAGCAAACATAGTGCCTAAATAAATGTCATTCACGTCTCATTCTGTGGGTACCTTTCTTTACCATTCTCATATTTTAAGAGCTAAAACAAAGAGAAAAGAAGGCAAGATAATTTCTTACATCTCCTTTTATAAAACCCTGAATACATATACAACAGCTCCATAGCATACTTTTTGACACTACTGCAAGATTAAAGAAACCTTAATTTTTAAAAAAAGTGAAAATAAGCCAATAATGAGAACAATGAGAAGAGTAAACGCCCACCTGTTCCACTTTCACAGACTCTTCAAGCAACACCTGCTCTTCTTCCAATTCTTCTTGCTTCCTCCTTAGGCTTTCCAACAAGTCCTTGGGCTTGAGTGCTCGACTGGGGATGGAGGGCAGGCTGTCAAATTTGTCTGATGGGGTCTGTCTGCTTCTCTGGACATCAAGCGACTTGTTGGAGTCTTTGGTCTCCCAGGTGTTGACATTAGAGCCTATTGCTGCCTTGACAGGGCTATCCTCAGGCTTGGCAAGATTATTAAATACTTGGTTATTGCTGATGTAGGCATCATTATTGTTCTTGCCATCCATCATCATCTCTTTATCTAGATTAGAAGGTTTCAGTTCACGTATGACACTTGGGGCTGGACCTGGAGTCTTTCCCGGAGCAGTCTGAGGCTTACCGTGTGGACTCGGGGACGGAGTTAATAGGAAGGCATTATCCAGATCTGGATATTCAAAGTTAACTGCAGAAATAAAAAAGAATTAGAAAACTTGCTGCAGAAAAAAAATAATGGTTTGTATGAAGTAGGCAGTACACTTAAATTACTTGTTGTATACTACATGCTGCAAATCTTTCCCCAATGAAATATTTTTCAGCTTTATATAATTGGGAAATACAGAAACATATATTCACAGTTTTTTTTTATGAGTAAGCATATTCTTACACAACTGATTAATATGACAAAATTTGTTTGTGATGTTATTTCATAAAACATAAAATATAAATCAATAAATTAATTAATAAAACAACTTGTAACAAATAAAGGATACAAATAAATTTGATACAAATTATAATATGAAAATTTTAAAATTAAACACAAACAACTTGACAGTAGTATTTAATACAGTAAATACAAAGGCAAACTCACGTGAATCTTGGTCTATCTTTGGGGTGGTAGTCGAGGCTCGTCTCTCCACTGTGGGGTTAGTGGTATGCATTGGATACATGAGACGCCACATGTCATACCCACCTTGTAGCACCCATGGCTGGCTCTTGTACTCTTTGCCTGGATCCCACTGAATCAGAGGAACCTTATTATTTTCTAGCTCCACCTTTTGATTACAGGGTATAGATTTTCCTTGTCAAAGTACACGAAAAATTGTAAACATCTTGTTTATTTCTATTTACTTTATGGGTCTGAACAGGTCAACTATTGCTCCTAAGTAGGTTCCCCAGAAAATAATAATCTATTCCAAATGGGACTTTGATTGTTGGACTCTCAACTTTGAAATGCACCCTAAACACATTCAGAGTGAACACAACTTTTACAGAGCAAAATGGTGGAAAGTGATTACAAAGATATGTAGTGAAATATGATAGTGAAATGGAGGCAAGTCATATTGACTGACAAACAAAGGGTTCATATCAGGAGGATTTAGAGACATTTAGCAATGATGCTTGTGGAAGAATAGCTTCAGTTTTTAATAAATTGATCACATCAATGTGTCTTTATTGTAACCCTTCTCCTTTTCATTAGTCTCATAGCAGTTTTGCAATAATGCAAAATAAACTTCAAACTAAATAAGCTTTCACCATAATAGTTCTTCAACCCTTGGGAACTGCAAGTCCTCTACCTTGTTTGCCCTCCAACCCAACCACAAAAGGATCTGATTATTGTTCCGGTAGGCAAATTCTGGTTCCTTGCCATTATAGTGCTCAATTCTACATACCAGAAAATATATCATATATCATATATCAAAAGTATAGAGCATCAATTGAGAATATATATATTTTTTTAAGTTAAGCGTCATGTATGAATGAAAATAGGAACAGATTACTATAAACATGTAAAGAAATTATATATCAATAATAAAAAAAAAATCATAAAACAATGAAATATACATTTAGACGTATTTTCAAGTATCTCGATGTATAAACAGTAAAAAAATAAATATACCAAGAAGTGACTCTTAGATATGTAATAGTATCAGGGGGAATGTGGAAGATGAAAAGACTGGGAGTATAGCTACAAGATATATGCCCTACAATATCAGAAAAAACACTTCATACTCACTACATATCCTTCACAAGAAGAAAGAGGCAGGGAACATAACTGCACAATTGACTAAAGGAGAGTAAAGCCTACAAGGGGATCATGGATAAGGTTGGAGGAAACTTGCCAAATAATACTAGATATAGTTGTTTACAATTTGTGTCTCACTGATAACAAAAAGTCACAGGGCAAGAAGTCTACCAGTTTTGAAAGACCTTGCACAACTGCGGTGAGTACATAAAACTTACTATATTACCAAATGCGGATGGAAACATAATCCAAACTTTTAAACTCTATATAATGTAAAAGATGAATCTGAATATAAAACAAGGCCCGTGTAATTTCCTCCTCTGGTTTGTCTGCCCCCCTTAACCACAAAAGAGGCCTGATTTTTCAAGTTTCCCTAAGGCAAATTCTGATCTTTGATATTTCTAGGAATTAATTCAGCATACCAGAATAAGTTTATTTAAACATTATATATTAAACAGATCACTGATAACAAGAAGGACAATTGTGGTGAATAAAACTGATTGCACAGGACACTGCAATAATCATATGGATCTAAATAATTTGTATGAGTGTTTTTTTAATGTATACGAAGTCTTAAGTTACTGAAGCACAGGAAGGCATAAATTTGTATGTTCTGTTAACTCTTATAATTCTCATGTACTTCTTAACTCAAAAAACTGAGAAAATATCATCCATTGATTTTTTTTTTTTTTTTTTAAGATTTTCTTCTATTTGCTAAGCTTTTTCAAAAACATTTTGTCTTTCAACATTACTCTAAGAGTTTGTAAAAGATGCTGTCAGGATAACATCTATGCTAAAATAATTAGCCAAAAACTTCATCTCATTATCAAAGAGATCCAAAGAAAAAGTGAATGTGAAGTGCATGAGGCACAGACAGCATTGGGAAGCTTCTGAAACCTGAAAGGGTTAATACATATACCCTATGATATGAATGCAAGATCTACTGGACAATCTTAATTTTTCAAATACTGTGAAAATTAAAGCCTATAGAAATCTGAAAATCAAACATCTCCATGCTATGTCTTATTCTGTATATCAAAATTTCTTAAACAGTATGATGATGGTAAGCAGTCATCAAAAGATATCTTCTACTTTCATCAACTTCCATGTTTTTAAGTTTAACTAGGTAAATATCACATCTCTGGTATCTTAGGCAAGATCAGATCCTCTAGATCCCCTCATCACCCTCTAATCAACTAATTTTCTCTTACCTTCACCATGGCATCTATGAGGCACCTGAGAGGGGCTGGCAGAGGGGGTTGTTCTGTCACCCAGTCCACAAGTATTAGGAAATCTACTTTGTGACGCAGTGTGACCCAAACGTTCCGTGCACTATCATCTAGCTCACTACCTATTCTTCCAGCTGTTAACCTATTGAAAAAAAGAAAAAAAAGTTTTCTTAAATCAATAACCATCCATTAACCCCTTGGCTCCAGGTGTTTGTAAGCTGGGTGCACACGAACATCACCTGTGATGTCAAGACTCCTTGTTTCCCCATTGCAATATTATCTTTTTTTTTTGCATAAGCATAAGCATGTTTTTTTTCCCATATTCAAATGTCTATATATATCATTTGATATATTGTATCCAGATATTAATAGACTTGCACAGACTTCATATCATCTCTCTAGGAGTCCATAACAACAAGTAATATTTTGATAATTGTCTTTTTCCTTTTTTTTTCTTAATTTTCAATTTTCAGTAATACAAATTGAGCTGCCAGTCACAGCAGACAGGAAGAGAAGCTTGAGAATAGAAAGTACCCTCCCTGGAGTCCGCACTCTTCCAGTCATGGCTCATGGACAGTATGTTCCACACTTTTTTACCAATAGGAATATTGCAAGAGCCCTTTCAAAAAATACCCTATAAGTCTAATCACACTCTAAGAGCTTTGTGCACTTGTAGTGAATCATTCTTGTCACCTCAGCCATCAGTCAAAATTCTCATGAAAGTTAATTCTTATATCCCCTTCCCTCAGCTAAATTTTTCCATGACTGCATGCTGACATTTCCCACCAATCAGCCAATTATTTTCATGACCTGGTGGTCACATCATCCAGATCCAAGGGGTTAAACCATTGATGCATTTATACATGAACCATCCACTGTGGTTTTCTTTTCCACATGTGCTTACTCATTAAGGATTCAATTACTAGGCCCACTTACAATTTACCCTTGTCTCTAAATTTTCTTGGAAAAATGTTTTCATTCTTATTATCATTGTCTTTAACAAAAATAATAACAATAACAGTAATAATAACAATAATGATAATAATAATGATCATGGTCATTATCATTATCATTATCATTATCATAATCATAATCATAATAATGATAATAACAATAACAATAACAATAACAATAACAATAATAATAATAATAATAATAATAATAATAATAATAATAATAATAATAATAATAATAATAATAATAATAATAATAATAATAATAATAATAATAATAATAATAATAATAACATACAATAACATACAATAACATACAATAACATACAATAACAATAACAATAACAATAACAATAACAATAACAATAACAATAACAATAACAATAACAATAACAATAACAATAACAATAACAATAACAATAATAATAATAATAATAATAATAATAATAATAATAATAATAATAATAATAATAATAATAATAATAATAATAATAATAATGATAATAATAATAACAAAGATGATGATGATAACTGCACCATTATTCATAAAAACATTAATAGGAATAGAATTAACAACTCTTTTCCCAAAGTAAAGGCCTTAGTAACTAAACACTTGTGGAACTGTCTATGTGTAAAAACTATAGTGGACAGTGGGTAAATTAAATATATAAGAATAACAATTATTTTTCCTGTCAGATACACATGGAAATATGAATGTACAAACACCAATCCATGAGAATTATCTATAACCATAATTCTTTTCGGGAGGGGAGAGAGAAAAATTTACAAAAATAAAATATTACACACCCTGGCTTCAGTATTTCTTCAGGAATATTCATCACATTAGACACCTTCATTTGGGATTCCAGAAAGTCGTCTCTAGGTCTAGCATCAAGGATAAGATAGGAGGAGCACCTTTCCTTTATGAGGGAGTAAAGTTTCTTACATGATATACAACCTTCCTCCACAAGCAACCCTGGAAAATAAATACTCATTAATATGAAAACTTTCAAACAGGATAAAATTATGCAGTTTATAATCCAAGACAGGGAGTATCGGGATGCAAATGTTATACCATTAGATGTAGGTGATGCTGGGGTCTTGGATGTTTCAGTGATCTTCTTTGCTTGCTTTTCCTTTTCAGCTTGCTGGTTTTTCTCTGCTGCTTTCTTTTCCTCTTCTTGCTTTTTCTGTATTAAGGCACTAGACTTACTTTCATATCTGTAAGGAATGGAATCTATGTTGTATTTATGTAGCCATCACAGAAAAATATTTCTATTCTATTTATTACATACAAATATAATGTCTATGTCATCTCGGTTGATATATTTACACATCACTGAAAAATAATCTATGTAATCTGAAATAAAAGATAAAGTGAGTCTTTAATGGTAAGTTATGAATTACTAAGACTTAATCATATCAAATCAGTGGATAATGTAATTTCAGCTGAGGTAAAAGTATATGTCAGCATATGAGACCGAATTTTAACCCCCAACTCAAGGGATGTCTTCTACAACAAGTATGAAATTTAAACCATTACTTTCTAAGGTTTACAGCTTTCCCAACAGTGATCGAGATTAGTGTAAAACTGTATAGTACACTCAAATAGCTCCTGTTCCTAATTCCCATTATCATTAACTAAAAATTATCATTCTGTCTGGGAAGTCGCATAATAAAAGGAATAAAATAGATAATTAATTAATCTAATATTCCAAAAAAAAATAACAGCACCACAACTCACAAAGACTAGTGGCCACTAGAAACAGCTGACAAAAAGTACTATTCTTACAGTTCAGATACAGTAATATCAACAGTTTCAGGAAGGGAGATAGAGCTTACAATTTTAAGAAAATGTCTGAAATATATATACTTTGTACCAAAATTTCTAATATACAGTAATATATCATGCATAGGTTAACCAGTAATCCAATTTCAAGTACACAAATGAGAAAATTATCAAAAATTGTAAGAGACCACCTTGGGTTATTTCTTGGGAGTAGCAAGGGCATATAGGTAATATATGCCAATAGGTAAACTACATACACAGGAAATTAGTGCCAGGTACACCTGGAATTCAGCTTGTTGCAATCTTGCATACAGCATTTGATAATGATATTGCACATAAAGATGAGTTTCTGAATGTCCAAAGAATATTTTTATACCAATATCAGAAAGAATGAAAGTCACAATGATTAATGATGAAATAGCTAGGGACATTTCTCTTTAAAAATATAAGTTTTGTATATTTTTACACACAAAATTTGCTTTCCATCAAGACTCCCTGGTAATATGCTGTATCTTATAAAGGGGTCTGTAAGTATACTGAGTATACAGAATTAATGTTAAAAAATAAAAGTACAAATAGTGATAATAAAATATCAGTTTGACAGTCGGTATCATCTAACCTCTTCAAATTCAATGAGAATAATTAAAACAGTTAATCCCCCCATTCGAAGTGCAGAAAAATTTAACATCTTTGGTAACTCTTGCCTCCAATTTATTCAACATATGTGCTTCAATAATTCTTAAAAATGAACAGATATGTTGTATTCATGCTAGGATTATATGACTGCAATAATTTTGTACTGATATTGCTGTCCACAGTTCATCATTTCTTCCTAATCAGATTTTCCAGACAATATAAATATTTCTAAAAAATAATAAAATAAAATAAAAATGAGTATTCCCTTGTTTAGATTAGCTCCCTTTATGATTTAATGTAAGTATTAACCCAATGCCACCAAGGAAAATGAATAAAATATGGGGAAAATGATGTTCTCATTTTTTACATTTTTTGTGAAATGTCTTTGCACATAGATGGCTCTGCCTTACCTGATTTCACCTTTCCTTGAATTGGCGGGAAAATGTATTTTTTACAAGTGCTATGAATATCGATTGGTGTTATTTTTATTATAAACATTATAATTACTATAATGTTATAAACATTAGTAACAGCAAAATAAGATAATGTAAAACATTTTCATAAATCAATAAAAAGGGTAAACGGGCAAGACAGGCAGTACTCATAATTGGCTCAAGTGTAGCCATCTATGTGTAAAAATAATCAAACAAGTAACTCATAGTGGGCATGGCACGTACATACACGTCATGCCCATCGGCACTGGGTTAAATGTTTCAGACATGAATACCTACTTTCATACAAAAAAAAATGAAGAAAGGAAAAAAATGAGGTAT